CTTCAGGCACTCTATCTATCAAATCTAGTCAAACCTATTCGTCACCTCCACTGTATATTCATCAGGGATCTGATCTAGCTAAAATCTGAATGGCCTAGTGGTTTCCCCAACTTTCTTCATTTTAAGTCTGAATTTTGCAATGAGTAGCTCATGATCTGAGCCACAGTCAGCTCCAGGTCTTGTTTTTACTGACTGGATAGAGCTTCTCCATCTTTGACTGCAAATTATATAATCAAACTGATTTTGGTGTTGCCCATCTGGTGATGCCCATGTGTAGAGTCTCCTCTTAGGTTGTTGGAAGAGGGTGTTCGCTATGACCAGTGTGTTCTCTTGACAAAACTCTATTAGCCTTTGCCATGCTTCATTTTGTTCTCCAAGGCCAAACTTGTCTGTTATTCCAGTTACCTTTTTACTTCCTACTTTAGCATTCCAGTCCCCTATGATGAGGAGGACATCTTCTTTTGGTGTTAGTTCTATGAGGTGTTGTAGGTCTTCATAGAAATGGTCCACTTCAGCCTCTTCTGCATCAGTGGTTGGGGCATAGACTTGAATTACTGTGATGTTGAATGGTTTGCCTTTGATTCGGACCGAGATCATTCTGTCCGAATACTATATCTATACAAATATACAACAACCCAGGGGACTTTTGAAAGTAGGAGTGTTGTGTTTTTTTTCCTGGCAGAACTGTTGTGCTTTTAACAACTTTATGGAAGCCAGCAATATAACAGCTGAACCTCCTGATGGCCAAAGAAAATCTGCTCCAGTTGAATTCCTGTGTATTAAACAGTTGTTAAGATCACATGAGTCTTGTCAGGAAAATGTGATTATCCTATTGGATGCATTTCACAGCCAATCTGAAGTTAATAACAGCTAGCAATCGTACAGTGTGTTTGAATGCTCAAAGGACATTGCATACATATTAGGATAACAGCCTTGCAGAGAGCATTGATGGCTCAGATGACTGGTAGTAGCAATTACAGGAGGAGGTGCATTTTGGCACTTGAAAAGGCATGGGTGGGAACAAGAGTGCCTCTTCCTGTCCAGTTGTGGGCCTGATCAGGATAGGGCTCTCGCTGTATTTTTAAATCACCCATGTTAGGCTTTCAAATTGCGATGGCATCCCCAGGTCAGACACAGGGATGGCAACCTCAAATCAGGGCTGTTCCTAGAGCTATACCAGCAAGCAGATTGTTAGCCAAATGGGATCATGATGTGGAGAGGAATCATCAGAACGTTTACTCAGGTGCAAGTCTCACTAGTACAATGAGATTTCATTACTAGGTAGTACACTGGGGTTGCTCCCAATCTGAAAGAATGAGCAAATGTCTAATTAGAATGAAGGCCACATGTCATAGCTACTTCTTTGTCTGATACTGTAACTTGGAAAGGATATATATATATGGAATATAGAATGTGCATGGTGTTCTTCCCATACAACTGGAAAGGCTGAAAAATTGGGTTCCCAGGCATGGGGACAGAGCCCTGTGCACATCCACTTGTATACACATAAGATGAACGAGCATGTGAGGCAGAATTTGCCATCACAATCTTGAGTAACGCATGAGTGGTTCCCAGCCAGCTCTCTGAAATACCAAACCCACTTGGAAGTGCTGTAGTTGATGGCTGTTGCTGATATACACCCAACAATGCTTTGACATGTTTTCAGATATGGTAACATGAGATAAGCTGAGGCAGTTGCCAGCCTGTTCCTTTCTGACACTGATCCTTGATCAGAAATCTGCTTGCATTTTGCTGAGGCAACTGTAGGAGGTGCTGTGACTGCACAAAGAAACAAAAGTGAACTGCTGTTCCTGAAGTATTCCTTCTAAAGCATAACTGGAGTTTTGTGGTAATACATATTGTCTACTTAGTACAACACTGTCATTGGGGAAATAATGATAAGCAGCCATCATCTTTGAAGCTGTCTAAACAAGGGCACTTCTTGATAACTAAAAGCAGAAAGATATATTTCTCAGAGATTGCAATTTATTGCTTGGCCTTCCTATAGGGTGCATACAATGTGCCACTAGTAATGACTCTGTAACAGTAAGGTGGTATGTTACAGACTTATTCTACTATGTTATGCTGAGGCCATTAAGATATGGATTAGTATGTGCCTGGAACCTAAAGATCATATTTCCATTCCTCTGTGATAGTCTCAGATGGGCAGCCATGTTAGCCTATAGTAGCAGAACAAAATTTGGATCTAGTAGCACCTTAAAGAACAATAAAATTTTCAAATCAAAGCTCACTTCATCAGATACATGTCCATTGTGAAAATCATTTAATTTTATTTTATCACATGTGAGATATAAAGTCACGCAAGGCCCATCTCAGACTTATATCAGTTTCACTATTACAGGCTTCTTTTAAAAGCCATTGAAT